TGGCCTCATTAGGATCAAGGTCATGCTAAGTGGTCCAAACTCTTATTTTGTTTTTTAAATTTCAAAAGCAAGGCTGCATGCTTCTGTTTCAGTTCTATTCTATGTCACAAAAAAGTAATAGGTTATACCATACTTTTTCTTTCCTATTTCATATCGGGATCTGGAGGTCAAAATCCAGGGCTCAAATGATGCTTTGAAGAAGAGAGCCCAAAGGAGACTGGGGAAGAGGATAAGGGGAGACATGTGAAGGCAATATGGCTCAAAGTGATGTTGGTCCTGATAGCTGGCCCTACCAAAACATCTCCGCGGTCTCTCCCTGTAGACGCAAATACCAACAGATCCGTATCACTTAATTCTCCGAGCTTTAGTTTTCTCATAAATGAAATATATCTGAATATAATTATACCTAGTTCAGAGTTATCAGAAGGGTAAAATGAAATAATGTCTTTAAAAGATCGTTAAATGAATATTAGTATTTTTTCCTATTTGCTGCAAGAAACAATCTCATCTTATTTTGAATTTTTTAACATTTGCACAGTAACAACCAGAAGGTAGGAAGGAAGGAGATGGTATGATCAGAAAGAGAAAGAGGCTCACACACAGAGAACATCTTGTTTTGTGAAAATGAGTTGAGTAACCACATTTTTTCCACAGTATGTCACCTGCTCCTTAGCCAGGACACTAAGATGGCTGAATCTCTGCTGTTCCTGAAAGCTACACTGTAGGACCTACTGAGGATATGAGATGGGGGAAAAGGGAATAGTTGAAGGAAACAACCTGGCTAGTGGAATGATGACTGAAGGACTTGATCTGGAAAAAGGTCTCTCTCAACCTTCTGAGCCTGGTACCTCTGGTGATCTTCTATTAAAAATCAGTCTCCAGAGAGACACAAAAGAGGAGGGGAAAACAGCAAACTCCTCTGAAAGCTTCAACCACAGATTGAGTCGCATTTCTTATCAGCATGGTGTGTAGTCAGGAAGGAATGCGTGTCCAGCAATTCCTGGACACAAGGACTCTCAGCTCTTCTGGCTCTGGAGAACAGCCTAACTGCTCTAGGAGATTTACCAGTCAGAATAGCAGAGAATTCTCTAGGCAAGAAAGTGAGAAAGTCAGACTACTAACTGAATTAAACCTGGAACACCAAAGCATATCATGTTTTGGCTTCAAGTAAACAAAAGTGACTCCACCACCACTGCCAAGGCATCTCTCTTCTTGCTATTTCCAGAGAGTTATCCTCTCACAGGGCCTGCAGGGGCGGTAATGGATTTCCCATACCAACCCCAGGGCACTTCTTTCTTGAAGCATAGAGGAGTGGCACTTTTCTGAGCCAAGAAGTATGTCTCGCCCCATCCTACCCTAATTTACCTCCATCTCTGTGTTACTATCTTAATCCAAGCAACCCTAATCTCTTCCTTCTTCCATAGTTACTAGTGTACAACCTATTCTCCACAGAACAGCCCAAGTGATTTTAATAGCAGCTTTATTGACATATAATTCACATACCATAAAATTCACCCTTTTGAAGTGTACAATTCAGTGGTTTTTAGTATCTTCACAAGGTTGTGAAAACATCTAATTTTAGAGCATCTTTATTGCCTCCAAAAAAAAACCATACGCATTAGCAGTCACTCCCCATTTCCCCTCAGCCCAGCTCCTGGCAACTGCTAATCTATATATGTCTCTATGTATTTGCCTATTCTGGACATTTCACGTAAATAGAATTATACCATGTATGGTCTTTTGTGACTGCCTTCTTTCACTTAGCATAATGTTTTTAAGGTACATCCATGTTGCAGTGGTATTAGTACTTCATTCTCTTCTATTGTTCAACAATACTTCATCATACAGATATACCACATTTTGTTTATTCATTCAGCAGCAGATGGACATTTGCAATGTTCCCACTTTGTGGCTATTATAAATGACGCTGTGATGAACATTCACGGATATGGCTTGTGTGGCTATATGTTTTCAATTCTCTTGAGTATATACCTAGGAGTAGAATTTCTGGGACACATCGTAACTCTAAGTTTAACATTTTGAGTAACTTCCAAGCTGTTTTCCAAAGTGGCTACAGCATTTTACAATCTCACCAACAATGTACGAAGGTTCCAATTTCTCCACATCCTCACCAACACTTGTTACTGTCCATCATTTAATTATAGCCATACTTATAGGTGTGAAGTGTCATCTCACTATATTTTGATTTGGATTTCCCTAGTGACTAATAAATAGGATTGCTATGACTCGGCATCGACTCGATGGGAATGGGTTTAGTGACTAATGAGGAGTCTCTGGGTGGTACAAACAGTTAAGTGCTAGACTACTAGCTGAAAGGTTGGCAGTTCAAACCCACCTAGACGCGCCTTGAAACATGGGCTTGGCTACCTGCTTCCGAAAAGTCATAACTTTGAAAACCCTGTGGAGCAGTTCTACTCTGAACACATGGGGTTGTCATGAGTTGGAATCGACTTGAAGGCAACTACCAATAGCAACAAACAACAGTGACTAATGACACTGAGCATCTTTTCATGTGCTTATTGGCCGTTGGTATATCTTCTGTGGAGAAATGTCTATTCAAATCCTTTGCCCATTTTTCATTTGGTTATTTTTTAATTGTTGAGTTGTGTTCTTTATATATCCTGGATACAAATCAAAGTGACTTTTAAAAGTAAATTAGATCTTGTCACTCCTAATAGTTCCCCAGTATATTTAGAATAAAATTAATCACTCTGGCTTACAATGCCCTACATAATTTGGCCCCTGTTAACTTCTCCAATACCATCTTGTACTATTCTCCCCCTCACACACTGCATTCTAGCTACACCAGCCGTCTTTCTGACCCTGAGACACCAAGTTCATTCATGACTCAGCACCACTGAGTCTTTTTCTTTGGCTGGCTCCTTCTCATCATTCAGGTCTCAATTCAAATATCACCTTTTCAGATAAATTTTCCTAAAAAGAAATTCTATCTAAAGAAGAAGCTCCCCTTCCAGAAAGGGGCACAGGAAACTTTTGGGCATAAGGGATATGTTCATTATCTTGATTGCAATAATGGTTTCATGGATGTATACATAAAACAACTGTTCAAATTCCACACTTTAAATATTTTAAATATGTGCGGTTTATTTTATGTCAATTATACCTCAATAAAGGGTCCCTGGGTGGCGCAAACAGTTAAGCAGTAGACCAGTAGCCGAAAGATTGGCGGTTTGAATGCACCCAGACACACCTTGGGAGATAGGCCTGATGATCTGCTTCTGAAATACCACAGCCTTGAAAACCCTAAGGAGCACAGTTCCACTCTGACACGCATGGGATTGTCATGAGTGGGAATCGACTCCGTGGCAACTAACAACAATACCTCAATAAATCTGTTAATAAAAAAGTTCCCTCAATACCCACACCTCCACTGTCACTATTGTATCATTCTCAATTGTTTTATTTCCTTAGGTGAAATTATCTTATTTCTGTCTATGGAAATTATCTATCTGAAATTATATATACTGTTTATTTCTTGATTTAAATGTTTACTGTCTGTCTTACCCCATTTGGGGAGGATAGTGGTAGTTCAGTGGTAGAATTCTTGCCTTCCATGCAGGAGATCTGGGTTTGATTCCTGGCCAAGGCACTTCATGCACAGTTACCACTCATCCGTCAGTGAAGGCTTGCATGTTGCTATGATGTTGAACAGGTTTCAGTGGCGCTTCCAGACTAAGACAGACTAGGAAGAAAGGCCTGGCAATCTCCTTCTGAAAATCAGTCAGTGAAAACCCTATGGATCACAATGGTCTGATCCACAACCAATTATGCGGACGGTGCAGGACCAGGCAGTGTTCCCTTCTGTTGTGCATGGGGTCCCCATGAGTTGGGGACCAACTCAATAGCAGCTAACAATAACAACACCCCACTAGAATGGAAGTGCCAAGAGGACAGGAACATTGCTCATCTTCTTCCCTGCTGTACCCTCAGCCTGGTTCACAATAGGTGCTCAATAAATATTTGGCAAATTGAATGAATGAATTCAACAGAGGTTTAGAAAAGAGACTCTCAAACCATAAAGTGACTTTCCACTCCCTCAGACTCACCAAAACTTTTAGACTTAAGGGGATGAGATTATTATGTTCTTTAAAAAGAGCGGTTATCTCAAAATTTTTCCTGGATCACCTCCACCATCATGATCATTAGAACTAACATGTACTGTTCAACTACTCTGTGGCACCATTCTAGTGCTTTACGTATACTCTCCCATTGCTAGTAATTATTCTTATAATGATGGCATTATAATAATGATAATATAGTATAATATATATTATGTAGTAATACTAAACATAAGAGTATATAATAACTATAATAATAGCAGCAGTAATACAATAAAAACATTGGTTTAGCACTTGCTATTTGCCAGATAAGCACTTTACCCATATAATCTTATTTATTCCTCACAATAACTTTATGAAGTAGGTATTCTTTTATAGATAAGGAATTTGAGGTTTAGAGAGGTGAATTAACTGCCCAAAGCCACATGGCTGGTAAAAGGCAGAGCTAGAACTCAAACTCTGTCTTACTTCAAAGCCCACGCTTTTTCCATTCTTCCACAGTGGTTCTCAAGCATTTTACAACACAAAGTTACTCCAGCTCATACATAAAGCCCATAAGGCCTGAGGAAGATGTCTACCTTGAGAATGACACAATTCAAACTCTCAGTGGGTTAGGGACAAAAGTAAGGGATAAGCTAGTTGCCTGAGAATAAGCCAGACTATTCAGAGCAAGGGATTTTCACATTATCCTAAGTTCTATGTGTGGCTTCATTTGACACTAAATTCTTACTGTTTCTGATTATCTCTGGCAGGTCTTGGTTTTTACCTAAACTGCTGGCCCCTGCCCCCTCTGCTTACTAGTAAGGTTAATGGGCAAAGATATGCTAACCATGAAAGACCTAGGTAATGTCCCTTATTATCTGAGTCCTGTTTCAAGGTGCCGCAGATGGGGGCCTTTACCTTTCGTGCCAGGTGGCTGTAGGTTGTCTCCAGTCAAAAAACACCAGCCCACAGGGAAGATGTCCCGGGAGTCGAAGCGGCACCAGTAGTCAAAGGCCCCTCGCCACCCATCAAAAGTGACAAGCACCTCTGAGCCCCGCACCTCCCCAATAGTGGCTGGGCAGATGAAATGAGGGTTCTTCCTGTCCACAGCTTCTAGCTTCATTCCCATTTTGAAGAAGTTGTGGGAAGGAGATGGTGGTTCCTAGATGAGAAACAGAAATACACAAACCTAGACACAAAGAGAGAGGCTATATGCCAGTAGACTGCTTCTATCTCATTTGGATGATTAAAAAGTGACTGTGATTTATAATGGAGATTTAGTCTTTCTTTTAAATGAATTTCAAACTATAACAAAGTATTACTTTGTTAATCCTACCATTTTCGCTGACATCTTTGCTTCAGATCTTCTTTTTTTTTTAAAGAAATAAAAGATTACAAATAAAGTTGACTACTTTGTGCTCTTCCTGCATTCAATTTCCCGTCCACCTACCCCAGAGGTAAACTATTACCCATGCATGTTTTTATACTTTACTACATATGCACATGGAGCCCTGGTGGTGCAGTGGTGCAGAGGTTAAGCATTCGCCTGCTAACCAAAAGGTCAGCAGTTTGAATTCACCAGCTGCTCCTTGGAAACCCTACGGAGCAGTTTTACTCTGTCCTACAGGGTCGCTATGAGTCTGAATCGACTCGCTGGCAATGGGTTTGGTTTTTGGTTTACATATGTACATGTCCATTTGCATGCTTTTAAATTTTATACAAATGGTATCATATTGTACATATCACTCTATAATTTTTTGTTGTTTGATATATTTTTCAGATTTACCCACGTTGATGAATTTAGCTCCAGTTTATCTAAACTGATGAATAGCCTTCTATTCTATGTATATAGCAGGACTTCTTCATTTTCTTTTGATGGACATTTAAGGTTGTTTCCAGTTGTATACTACTTCAGAAGAGTTTTAATTAATATTCTGACACTTGTTCCTTTATACACACGTAGGAGGGTTTCTCTAGGATATATACCTTAGGAGCAGAATTTCTGGGTTGTGGGATAGATATAAACGAGCCTTGGTGGCACAGTCGCTAAAGCACTCAGCTAACTGAAAGGTGGGTGGTTTGAACTCACCAGCTGCTCCAAGGGAGAAAGATGTGACAGTCTGCTTCCGTAAAGACGTACAGCGTTGGAAGCCCTAGGAGGTAGTAGTTCTACTCTGTCTTATAGGGTTGCTATGAGTTGGAATGGACTTGATGGCAGTGGGTTTGGTTTGGTTTTGGTGGCACAACAGTTAAGCGCTCAGCTACTAACCGAAAGGTCAGTGGTTCAAACCCACCAGCTAATCTGCAGGAGAAAGATGTGGCAATCTGCTTCTGTAAAAATTACAGCCTTGGAAACTCTATGTTCTACTCTGTCCTATACAGTCGCTATGAGTCGGAATCAACTTGATGGCAATGGGTGTGGTTTAGGATGGGTTTTAGGATAGATACATAAGGAGCCCTGGTGGCACAAAGGTTAAGCGCTTGGCAGCTAACCTAAAGGTTGGCAGTTTGAATCCACCAATGGCTCCCCAGGAGAAAAGTCCTGGCAATCTGCTCCGGTAAAGATTACAGCCTAGGAAATCCTATCGAGCAGTTCTACTCTGTCCTATAGAGTTGCTACGAGTTGGAATCGACTGGATGGCAGGACAGATATTTGCATCTTCTGCTTTACTAAATATTGTTAAATTGTACTCCAAAGCAATGGTAACACTGTACATTCTTACCAGGAGGCTGGAAAATTCCTGGGTGCCGATTTGTAATAGATCAAGTTTCCAAATATGTGTTGTACTCACTATTCTCTTCCTTTGGTTTTACTATCTAATCTTGTATCAACAACATAGTCTTATTAAATGGCCATCTGGCAGGAAAAGTCTCCCTACTTTGCCATTCTTCAGTGTTGTTTTGGCTATTCTTTCTCCTTGATATTTCATATGAATTTTAAAATCAGCTTTTCAAATTCTACCAAAAAGCTCTATTAGGATTTTGACTGGAATTGCAATACATTTCTAGGTTAATTTAGGAAGCAATAACCTTTGTATGATATTGAGCCTTTCCATACAAGAACATGACAGTCTTTTTCATTTGTTAAGTCTTTTTCAATATAGATGTCTTCTTTAATACAGATTTTTAAAATTCCTCTATAAACACCTCATGCTTCTTATTAACATTTCTTCTAGGTATATTAAAATTTTATTGCTATCATAAAGTATCTTTCAAAATTTTTATTTTCCAAACCTTATTTGTAGTTAAATAGGAATGTAATTGATTTTTTAAAAACTGATCAGTTGATTTGATACTGGTTTGCTTACGCTTATTGATAGACCAATTTTTTGTATCTACTTGATTTATCAAGTATTGAGAGATATGTATTAAAAATTTCCCTAGTGATTGTGGATTTTTCATTTTTTCCATGTAATTCTGTCAAACTTTCTTTACATACTTTGAGGTTATTTTTTTTAGGAGCATGTGCATTTATAACTAATTTATCTTTTTGGTGAACTATACTTATTTCTTATTAGGTAATGACCTCTTTAATGTTTTTTAGCATCAAAGTTGTCTTTGTCTGATTTTAGTACAGTTAACATCAGTTTTGTTTTGATAAAGGTTTGCCTGGCTTATCTTTCATATTCCTTTACTTTGAACACTTTTATGTCGTATGTTTTAGGATTGTCTTTTGTAAACAGCATATAGCTAGATTTAAAAAAAATCTAATCTATGTCTAACTAAACTGGTGAGTTAAGTGTTAACTGATGTATTTAGATTTATTACAGCTGTCTTATTGTCTACATTTCTATTTAACCTGATTTTTCAAGGTTCTTTTTCCTTTTCAATCAATTGAATTTTCTTCCCTTTCTCCCCTTCTACTGATTCAGAAGTCAACCATCTTATTTATAGTCCTTTAGTGGATTCCCTTAAGATTTTAACTGCATATTTGATATAACAAAATCTAAAGCTCTTATTTATCTCTGATCCCAAACAAGACAAGAACCTTAGAATATTTTAACTACTCCTAAATTACATAGGTATTTGATAACTTAGTTTCACACTGCTATCCTGCCAGTTAATTACTTTTGTTATTATGATTGGTTTATACAGTTACAGGCAATGCTTGATTAGCTTTACTCACATGTTAACTAGTATCTTTCCTCACCATTACTTCTTGCATCTCATTCTTACTTTCCAGGTTCAATTACCTTATTCCTGAAATACATTCTTCCAATTGTCCTTTCACTGATTATGTTAATATCCACTCATATTGGTTTGTTTGAAAATATTTTGATTTTACCCTCATTTTGAAATAATAGTGTAACTACAGAATTCAAGATGGACAACTATTTTCTCTCAGTACTTTGAAGATAATATTCCATTATCTTCTAGTCTGCACTGCTGTGGTCAAGAAATGTGCTGTTAGCCCAACTGTATCCTTTAAAGGATCCTGTTTCATAGCTTGCTCAGATCTCCTCTTTTGCTTTTAGTTTTCTATAGTTATACCCTGATGTTTTAAGGTATGTATTTATCTTTAATACACACTCTGGAAAATTCTGTCATTATCTTTTCAAATATTGCCTCTCCTCTATTCTTTCTAATTAATCTTTCTGGATTTCCCTGTTCAGCATACACTGGGCCTTCTATTATTCTCCTAGTCCCTTACCTTCTCTTTAGTATTTTCCATCTCTTTTTCTCTCTGTGAAGCATTCTCGGTAATTTCCTTACACATGTCTTTCTGTTAATAATTCTTTATCTATGTCTAAGCTGTTTATTCACCTATTTTTTATTTCAATGATTGTTTCATTTCTAGATGTTGTATTTGCTTCTCTTTTAAATCTGTTTAAAAAAGTAGTATTTTATATTTTTGTCATTTAAAAAAATTCCCTATTTTATTTCCTTCGTCGTTTTCCAATACTTAATTTATAATCTCTATCTGATACTTCTATTATCTGAAAGTCGTTGAGGTTACAATCTTACTGTCTGTTGTGTCTACTGACACCTCATCATCTTAGACTGTTTTCAGTGTTTTTGAGGGTTTTATACTTCTGGACTGAGTGCTCATCTTCAGTGGTACCCTGTCTTTGGGACTTCTGTTCAACCTGTGTTGAAAGCATATCCCTCGAGAGGTTTTGAGTTCGCTTCTGTAGGTACTCAGAAATATCTCCATATAACTTTGGGACTCTTAGACAATACAAGTAGTATATCTGAACCCTGGACTTACATGGGGGAAGACTGTTTTATCAGAAGAGATGACTCCATTCCCATTCCAACCGAGAGCCCAGGCAAAAAGTCTTTGTCATCAATGCAATAATCTTTTCATTAAGGGGTAAATTTTTGAGGGATCTGATCTGGTTTTTATGTGATAGTCTCAAGTCTATATCCCTGCCTTGCCTGGGCCCAAGGCCTCATCCTCTGTCCAACTGTGGCTGTTAAAAGACAAGATCCTCAGAAAGTAGAACTGGCAAAGCCCCTTTAAGGCAGCTGCGGATTTAGCGCACACATTTAATACTCTGGTTTTCCTTCTTCATTTTTGGTCTCTGGAAAATTCTCTCACTTTCTGTTAAGCTCAGCAAAGCATTTAAAGGTATACATATATATTTTTTCCTCCAGCACTTTGATGTGTTTTGTAATGAAACGGTTTTAAAGTTACTCAGTACATTTTATTCTGGGAACCAGAGCCTTCTCAAGATTTAAACTTAAATAACAGCATATGCAAACCTAATTCACTCCCCTTTACAGCGACTCTAACCTCATTAAAAGAAATCAGCTGACAGAAGACTGACTGCCTCATCCCTTGAGAAACAATGAAGAGCAAATACAGCTTTTGGATCCCTATTCCACCATTTACTAGCTATGTAATCTTGGGCAAGTTTTTTATTTAAAAGTATTTGTTTCCTTGGCTGTTAAATGAAAGTAATAATTCCTATTTCATAAGGTTAGTTGTGAGTATTAAATAAGGTAGTATATATAAATCCTTAAACATACTGTAGGTGCTCAAAAAAATGGTCTCCTTCCTCTCTCCCTGTTTAGAACATATAGAACTCCAGAATCTATAATAAGAATAGCTCCTTTATATTTATGTTACATTTTATATGTCTTACTAATAAACACATTTTAACTTCTTAACAACTCTGTGAGGTACACAGATCCCCACTTTATATACGATGTCAAAAGTCATTTAACAGTTTGCCCTAAGTGGACATAGCTTATTATTAGCAGAGCTAGGACCACAAACCAGGAATCCTAACTTACAGTCTAAGGTTATTCCTCCACGGATAACTGCTGCTTCACAAGGTACTGAACAAAATCCTTTTTCCAAACCAGTTTCTGAGAAATCTTCCTCAGGCCATAAATATAATGTAGACATCAGAGGCTCATTAATTGAGACTGTAAGCATTTGACCTTAAGCAGCTTAGAGCTGGTGATATTTGAGGGACACCATACCTTGTGGAAAATCCTGATGGGAGCCATCTCTGCTCCATTTAATGTCTTCAAAAGGAACATGGGCCAAGAGGAAGCATTCAGCCGAAATCCTGTAGCAAACATAACAGGCAACAGATGAAAAATATGTTTCAAAGGAAATGGCTATATCAAGTTCTCCCTTTGGAATCCAGCTACTACTGCCACAACCTACACTCACAGTTGTACGATCCTAGACTCTAAGGAAATAACTTAAAGGGTAAACAGAAGAAATGCCTCATTAGACAGGTGAGGAATATAAGGCATAGAAGAGGGAATGTAACTTGTCCAAGGTAATGCTGCAAAGTAAGTAGTGGGAGTATGCAAGCCTTGTTTCCTGACTCCAAGACAAATATTACAGAATATATAATGCCTAGAAAACTTTCTTTGAAAAATCAAAAAAAATGTGAAATAGGATTAACAGATACTTAGAAACGATACAGACAGCAGAGTATGAAAGGCGATATAATTATCTCTTCAAAAGAAACCAAATACGTCAACTGATATCTTTGATAACCAAATATTTTTTATTTACCTCAATACAATCTCACTATTTCTCTTTCCTCTCCCTTTCTCTGTTACACATACACACTCAAATACACACACCAAGTACAAAACACTTTGATATTCATTGTTTACTTAAACAACTAAGAATCAGGTGATAATGAAGATGGAAAAGATCATCCTACCCAGAAATTTTCATTTTCCAAAAGAGGAAAAACAAGCTTATACAGATTAATCGTCCATGGTCATTCAGCAAGTAAGAACCAGTAAGAATGTATTGTTTAATTAACGAATTGTAAGAATAAGATCATTATCATAGTTAGGTCTTCCAATTAGAGCTCCAAGTGCTTCCTTCAATTTGGCTTCAACTCTCCATCTGAGATACCAAATTCTAGTGCTTTTCAAAGGTCTCCCAACCTACCTCAGCCTTCCCATTCCTGATGAAAGAACAGACAGGCTGCACCAAAACTGCAGAGCTGGAAACAATAGCAACAGTATTTAATATTATTGAGTATTTTACTGTGTGCTATATACTGTCAATCCCTTTACACTGAAGATCTACTTAAATCCTAAAGATAACCCTATGAGATTATTAGATATTATCTTAATTTTATACCTGAGGGAAGAGGTACAGAGTTAAGTAAATTGCTTATGATTTTATAGTGAGCAAATAGCAAAGACAGGATTGAAACCCAGGCAATCTGACTCATGAACCACCACTCTTAACCACTACACAAACTGTTTCAATACACAGGTAAAATTTTTTAAAAAAAGGAAGTCAAAAGAGAGTTACCATCCCAGATGATTTAAACTTTTAATCCCAAAGCTGGTTAGGCTAAGCTATGCTTCCCAAGTTCAGAAGATTTCCTAGGATAGCTCATCCACAGCTACAGTGGCAATAGCCATATGGGCACTCCTATCATTCATTCTAAAACTGCCTTCACTTACTTTACTTGCCTGACTTTTTTCCTTTTGAAAAAGAACCTCCACCCTAATTCCTTATGAGTCGGTGGGGATGTCAATCACACGGCCCTATCTTTCTGGCCATGGGGTGGAAAATAATTTAAGCATGCCATTTAAGAGCGTCAGATTCCCAGTAGAACAAGGTGTGTGTGTGTATGTAATCCAAATTGGGTCAACTCTTTTCTGATACAGTATGGATGTTGGTGGAGAGTCTCTCTTTTCTCTGAGATTATGACTAGAAAGATGTGTATAGATTTGGCACTGTTACAGGGAGAACATACTTAAGAATAAATCCAAAGTAGAGAAAGAAATGGAGAGACATGATACTCTTTAAATCCCTGTCTCCAGACACATCCAACAACAGATAAATCCTTGGACTTCTTGGTTGTATGAGTTAATAACCCATCCATCCTCCCTTTTTCCCCTCTAAAATGGTTTGAGTTTCTGCAATCACAGCTAAAATAAAAATAATTAAATCCTTCCAGAAATTCAGGCCTGGTCTTTGTGGGGGAAAACAACTCTCCTTGGGTCAGTAAAGGGTGTAAGCAAGGCAAACCTAGTGCAGATTTGCCACGAACTGTTGAGTACTACTATGGATAAGGCAAAACAAGGCATAACTGTTCTAGAGAAGTGCTTCCTACACCTTGCTGAAAGTCAGGAGTAGGGTGGCATGACAGCAAAATTAGAGAATTCATGTTTCACGCCCTCAGTTCCCAGTGACTAGAAGGACCAGCAATGCAGCTCTCAAATCCATATTTTAGTAAGGGGCTACTAACGGGCCTCTAACTCATCTGGAACTTGAGGGGCTATAAAATTCTCTCAGCTTTGGTGACCCTTACAATAATATTAGTATAGTAGCTAATATGTATTGAATGTTTACCATGTATTAAATATTTAAAATGCAATTTCTCACTCAATATTTGAAATAATACCATGAGATAGCACTATTATTACCTCTAGTTTACAGATATTGAAACTGAAACTCATAGTAGTAGCTTGTCCAAGGTCACACTAGTAAGTGCATAGATACATTTCAACATATGATGGTCTTACTCCAGACCTCATAGTTCTTAATTATTATGTTTTACTACCTCCCAGAAAGCTCTGTGTTTACCCTTCTTTTAAAAGCCTACAAAAATCCAGCTCTAAAGAGCTTACAGGTGCTCCCAAAACTGTTGGACCAATGAATTAGCTAGGGTCCAGCTGTTTAAACTAACAGTGACTTGATGAAGCTCTAGACTTAAATGTAGATCCAACCCAAAACCAATTTCGACTCATAACGACCCTATACAATAGAGTAGAACTGCCCCATAGGGTTTCCAAGGCTATAAATCTTTATGGAAGCAGACTGCCAACTCTTTCTCCCACGGAGTTGCTAGTGGGTTCGAACCACAGTCCTTTAGGCTGGCAGCTGAGCACTTTTACCACTGCACCACCAGGGCTCCTCAAATGTAGGTCAGCAGGTCTATAATCTAATCATAGTTCACACACTCTTGTGGCAGGTAACAGAACAGCATTCACACCAGGAATCACATGTAGTGGGCCCCACTCCCCAACACTTCCATTGTCCTAATATAATAATTCCAAGCTTTGTGGGGTTCTTAGATTCTATGGATATCAAGATGATTCTGTGAAACTCCCAACTCACTCTCCCCTACCAAAGAAGCTTTGCATATAAATATATCTATAGTAATATGCCACTAACTCACTGTACAACTTTGGGCAACTCATTTCCACTTCCATGTTTCTGTTTTTGTCAGATGAGATACTAAACTAAAGCAGTGTTTCCGAACTTCAGTTTTACTGAGGACTAGTAATCTACTTACATTTCATCCTAAGGTGAGAAAACAAAAATAAAAACAAAAAGGAGAAGTGGAACTGGAAGAAAGGTGCTGAACAAACTGTCTTCCCTGAGGAAGAAGTGAGTACCCACCCTGATTGTATTTGGGAAGGACTCTCAGGATTCCTTTTAGTTTTGACAGGATTTTACAACCACTTCCCTGTTATACCCCCATACAAACACTCAAACACAAGTTAATTCAGGTTAATTTAATTGGGAGTGGGGTTATGACTAATCTTGAGATAGCTGATCTATAGATGTGGATAGGATTAGACGGTTCTGGCATCAATCAATGCCAGGAGCTTTGCTGCAGAGAAGAGGTAGTTCACTGAATATTTTTTAAATTACCTTTATAAAATAAGCATTTAAGCCACCATAGTCAAAATCACTTCTCTCTAAAATTTTGTTTCTTTCCCCACAAATTTTTATAATGTAGTTCAAAAAAATGAGACATGCATCTTTTCTAATCCCTCTTTCCATTGCAGGCCCTGGAGGCTACTTAGCAAATGAGAATGATCAGTGACAGAAACATACAAAGGGTTCCTTTCAAGCCAGTGTACCATAGTTACACCAGAGGTGTGATTAATTTTGCTGAGCAGGCAGTTTGTACTGGGATACTAACACAGTTCACTAGGGTTCTCACTAGATGCTAAGCTTCTGCTCTAGATGATCAGTTCTCAAACTTGGACACTGGAATCCCTTGAAGAGCATGAAAGAATACATCAGCCCCATCCTCAGAAATTCTGATTTACCTGATTTGAGGTAAGGCCTAGGCACTGAAATTTTTAAGAGCTTCTGAGATGGTTATAATGGGCAGCCAAGTTTGAGAACTATTGCTCCAGACAGCCCTGTTTAGAAGAAATAATCATAATCTTGAGCCAGAGAATAGCTCAGTAATAACATGGGGCTGTAAGGAAAAGGTTGGCAGCTTTGAGATAACTTGAGAATCATTCTATGTTACCACCATTTTTCCCTGGAGTACTCTGTAAGGGAGTAATCTCCCTTATGTGAACAGAACGCAAAAGAGACCATATAAAATTTTAATGGAGAAGAATGCTCTTCTACAGCAATGCTTCCCAAATAGACCATCCGCATTAGAGTCTTGGGGGAGTCATTTTACCATGCAGAATTCCAAGCCCCATTACCTAGAGATTCTGATTCGGCAACTCTGGGGAGAGATAAAGAGGTGGCCGGGGGAACGTGAACACACACTCATAAGTGTATAGCTACATATGTGTGTGTGTGTATTTGTATCTATATATAAAACCTTATTTTTTAAATTTTGAAAAAATTTAAACCTAGAGAAAAGTAGCAAAAGTAGTATAATGAACAATTATATACCCTTCACCTAGACTCAACAACTTAATTAACATTTTTCCACATTTGCTTTCCATCTATCTACATACTTTTCCCCCGAACCATGTGAAAGTCGCAGACATCATGACACTTTACGCCTAAAACTTCAGTATATTTGTTCTTAGAACAAGGACATTCTCCTACAAAACTACAATATTATCACACCTGCAAAATTTAATTAATTAACATAGTCAATATTAAAATACTCTCAATTGTCCCCAAATGTCCTTTATAGCTCTTGAATTTTAACAGAGTATTCAATCATGGATCATATATTGCATTTGGTTATGTTTCTTTCATCTGCTTTAACCTAGAATAGTCCTGTTGCTTTTCTTCTTTCAGTCTTTCATGACAGTGCCATTTTTGAAAAGTCTGGGCTAGCTGCTTTGTAGCACATCCCACAATTTTTTT